AGTCACTAGGGTTTTAGTTTCTCTCCAGTTGAGCTAGTGCAAAGCAGAATGGTGAGATGTTCTTTGTAAACTTTTTGGCTCTTATATTTGTCACCTTTCATGACGAGGGTCTTGTCATGCGTCACCTTGAAAAATAGTGTATACTCACTGGCATTAAAGATATCATATTTAAAGTTGCTGGAGTATTCCAAAAAGTTGAACCTCTTCCACTTCTACTGGAACTTCACTGGATTCACCATACAAAACTTTCTGGAGATTTTGTGTCACAGTTTACATTTCTCAAGCCAGCCACCTGATGCTTGGAAATCTGCCACCCTTAATTTCTGTGCAAAACAAAAATTTGTTTTAAAGAGACAGTCTCACTTTGTTGCCCTTGGTAGAGTGTCATGGCATCACAGCTCACAGCAACCTCCAGCTCTTGGGCTTAGGCGACTCCCATGCCTCAGCCTCCCGAGTAGCTGGGACCACAGGTGCCCACCACAACGCCCGGCTATTTTTTGTTGCGATTTGGCTGGGGCCGGGTTTGAACCTGCCACCTTCGGTATATGGGGCTGGTGCCCTACCCACTGAGCCACAGGCATAGCCTCCGTGCAAATTTTTGGGTAACTTCTTGAATTATCTACCCTGAGATTCAAGTGTTAACTTCCTTCACTTGTTTGAATCAGCTTAATGTGGCTTCATTGACTTCATTGAAGGAAGTTGTTCTTTTTTGCTGTAGGTGTCTGCCCTACCATCTCTCTCCAAATACTCATATTTACATTTTTGGATTTTGTTAATGGTAGTCTTGCTAACACCAAAATGTTCCTCCTTGTTTCTTTGGCTGTTGCTTTCCAGGAGATCAACCTTTTCTTTCAATGTTAGCTCTTTGAGTTCTTTCCTTTGGGCCACTAAGTTTCAATTAACTATAAATTTTTTCAGCAGTTGTACGATTTACCTACAATTCACAACAGTCTTTCATGTTGAAAACAATCTTCTATAATGTATGATAAACAATAGGACATTAGGCCTAATCCAACATGTGGTAATAATACAACATGAATAAAGAACTTATAATAAAAGAAAAAAACGCAACTTATAAAGAATATAAATAAAGAACTTATAATAAACAAAAAAATACAGCCCATACTTTGTACCCTTTGGTAGAGAGCAGACTCAACTAGTCAATTTACAGAAGGTAAATTAATATTGTGTGTCACAAGTGGTCAAGGTATACCCTACCCTATGGAGGTGGTCAAAATATAGAGGTCAGATTTCCATTGAGCACATAATGTGTGTCCAGTCTATGAAAATTAGGTCAACTTAAGGAATTGGTGGTAGGGAGGTGATCAATGATAGAGGTTGTACTGTCTATTGCTATGTAGAGAACAGCCATGGAAACAGTTTCTGAGTGTAGGACCTTGAAGGAAATAATAATTTTAAATTGTGTCAAGTTATCAATATAGGTATACCTATAGAAGAGATTCCAGCTCAAGTATCAGCTTAAACCGCTTCAAATAGTCCTTTTTATTTGGTTGAAAGACATTTTGACTCAGCAAGGCTCATCTAAGTTGGAGGTAGTATGTTAGAAATTCCTTGGTAAGGCAGAGAAAGGACATCAAACACAGACAAGGGGGAATGTTGGATAGGATTTAATATGTGTCATCCATATTATTATACTCATGAGAGTCTAGTTGACTGTCTTTACCAAGACATTGAGAAAGCACGAGTGAGCAGAGCACCAGCAGTCTTGAAAAGCTTTATAGTGTGTTGTAGGCCAGATGTGCCACTGGGAGATGCTTCCATTTATTCAGTGGGCATTGTCAAGATTGTATGTCAGAGACAAAGTCGTTCAGATGGGAAAGTTGGGCATGGTTACTATAACAAGCAGTAGGAGAGCATAATCAGCAAAACACAAGTTTTGGCCTTGGGTAATTGATCATATGATCTAAAGAATCAAAAATGAATAATGTCCATGGTCCTATTTAATTCACCTAACTGAAAACTATAGGTCTGCCTGGAGCTATCCCATTACCGAGCCCTCACACAGTTCTCATGCCCTATTTAACTCTATTCCTGGAGCCCTCTGAGAAAGAACTCTGACATAACATAACAAATATGCATTATATATGTCTTCACCTTCTACAAAGAAATCTGTGGCAATTTACCAGAGCCATTATGTAATGCAGAAAGAAATTTCTAGATCTTCTGGAATTACTGAATTTCTCTTTGGCTCTAATTTGAGGAAGTCAGAACATCACACAATTTATTGAGAGTGGCGTCTGAATGGAAGTCAGTATGACAAATGAGTTGTGACTCAAGTCCACCACTGTGATCCCCTAAGCCGTCTCTCTTAGCTACTTCTCCCATTTCCTGAGTATATGACTAAGGTAAGTAACTAGCAGAGTCAACACGCTGGTTTCCTGAACTGGTTTCTTTTGTTTACCAAATTTCGATGGAGGGACACAAATGAGGTCACTTTATGATGTAGTTAACATTTGCAGTATCTCAAATTACTACTTTAATGGGAACAAGGCTGCTAATATAGAACTAGATGGAATTTTTAAAGTCATTTCAGTTTTAGATTGATGCACTATATCACAGAGTTCCAAACTATTTCCTAGGAAACTTTTCTTTAAAAAAATCTACCTTTATATGTGAAATTAATACACATACATATACATTTTATTAATTAATTAATTTATTGGAGACTGAGTCTCACTTTGTTGTCCTTGGTAGAGTGCTCTGGCAGCATAGCTCACAGCAACCTCAAACTCTTGGGCTCAAGTGATCTTCTTGCTTCAGCCTCCCTACTAACTAGGACTATAGGCACCTGCCACAACACCAGGCTATTTTTAGGGACAGGGTCTCACTCTTGCTTAGGTTGGTCTTGAACTCCTGAGCTCAAGCAAACCACCTGCCTCAGCCTTTCAGAGTGCTAGGATTATAGGCGTGAGCCACTGCACCCAGCTACATATTATAGATAATAGTAATTTATGTTGCTGTATTACATTAGGCTCCAAGGCATTAAACCTACCTCTTCATTGATCAGTATTCATTCTGATAAGCATTTAGCAAAATTTGAGACTGTTATTCAATTATATAATACATATTAAATCAGGTAATCTGAGTTCTGGTTTATCTCCTGGATAGTAATTTTTAATTATACAAACAAAAAAGTAACTAACAACTTTATTTTTTTGTGCTCACTTGTAATTAAACTTTTTTTTTTTTAAAGAGACAGAGTCTCACTTTGTCACCCTTGGTAGAGTGCTGTGGCATCACAGCTCACAGCAACCTCCATCTCTTGGGCTTAGGCAATTCTCTTGCCTCAACCTCCCAAGTAGCTGGGACTACAGGTGCCTGCCACAATGCCCGGCTATGTTTTTGTTGCAGTTTAGCCAGGGCTGGGTTTGAACCTGCCACTCTTGGTATATGGGGCCAGCACCCTACCCACTGAACCATGGGCGTCGCCCCTGTAATTAAACTTTTAACTGAAAAGAATTATAGAGTGGAATTTTTTTTATGGTTATTGTAGAAACTAACTTGCCCTTTGCCATTCCTATGGTTTACTGAACATGTATGATTAACTGCAGAAAGGAAAAAATCCTCTTGGGAATATGTTGTAATAACAGAGAGATTTTCCTTATTTCTGCTAAATTAATATTCCATGTTCACGTAACTGACATCCCCTAGATTTTTGTACTGTTATGTCATGCTTACGTAGTGTATTTTTACCTTTCAATTATAACTGCACCCTGCACTCTCATTTCAGCTTTATTTTTTTATTTTTTTTGAGACAGAGCCTCAAGCTGTCACCCTGGGTAGAGTGCCATGGCATCACAGCTTACAGCAATCTCCAACTCCTGGGCTTAAGTGATTCTCTTGCCTCAGTCTCCCAAGTAGCTGGGACTACAGGTGCCTGCCACAATGCCCAGCTATTTTTTGGTTGTAGTTGTTGTGTTTGGCAGGCCCAGGCTGGATTCGAACCCACCATCTCTGGTGAATGTGGCTGGTGCCTTAGCAGCTTGAGCTACAGGCACCGAGCCCCACTTCAGCTTTAATGTTGTAAAATGTCACGTCCCCCAAGAAATACTTTAGGGTAAATGGATTAAGAGACAAAACCCTACTTTACACCAAATCCTTTCATACAAAATTTTAAATTTAAATGAAGCAAGAATGATATTCATTAATGGAAACACATTTTTTTTTTCAATTGTTTTTTATAGTTACATTAGCCTGGGCTACTTACACAAAAAATTTATATACACTCGCACAACCCAAAAAACCAAACAAAAGAAACCAACAAAAAACCCAAAAACCAAACTCACTTAATAAGGTGACAAGTTTTACTTTTGAGAGGTAGTACAACCAAGCAAATGAATATGGTACGTGCATAAACTGAGGAGGAACCTGAGATCACCCGACCTATTTAATTTATAACAAAATCTTTCCTCCTTAGGATTTCAGTGCTTGTGAACAATTATTGCATTAGAACAACAGTCTTGATTTATTTTGAGAAAATCTTAAAGTTTAGTCATCGAGACCTCAAACTTAAAAAACAACATATTTCTATCTGAAGTAAGTTTTTAGTTTCTCAAAAGCCAGTAATAAATTAAAAGATCAACGTGGGGAAAAGTATGATTTCTAAAAAATGGGAACATATTTTAGCTTTCAAATTGTGAAATACATAAGTGACCTAGAAAAACATTGTTCTTCCTTTGTATTCTGAGTGATTTTCATAGGCTTCACCTTCATTTTGTGCACTATAAACAAAAAAACAAACAGCATGAACCAGTTTAACTAGGGATATTGTTAAGAAGAGCGAAAGACGGCTTCCATGATGTACATAAAATTCCAAACACTTCACATGTGAAAAAATTCCAAATTATTAAACAGTAGGGTGATCTCAGAAACTTGGCTTCATATAATATGGTTCCATTAAAATTTTAAATTTCTTTAAAATAAGAAAAGCCTGAAAAGCAAAGCTCCCAAACCAGCTAAGTTAGAAACTGCTAATTTTCTGAATGAAAACAATACTGTTTTTTATTTTTACACCACTGAATGGGAAGAATAGAAAAAGAACTTCCGTTGGTACAGAGAATGATTAGGCCATCTGTGCAGACACCTGAGAACAGACTGTTCTGTACGTTTACCACCTTCTGCAGCCACTTGCTTCTGCTTTGTCGTTCACGGACATTTCCACCCTGTCAGCCACTGTATCTTCAGGAGCTGACTGGACGTGGCCCTCTGACTGACCTCCAGTGTAGGTGGGCGTACTGTACTTTAAAAGGATAGATTTAAACTGCATCAGGGGTGCATCTGTACGAACACCCATTGGGTCAAAATGAGTTCGGCTTACACGAAAGCCTGCTTGAGATAGATAGCACAAAAACTTTTTTAACCTGCAAGGAAGAAAGGAAAACATATAATTAGGATCTTGTATTTTTACTTAAGTCACAATATTATTAAAATACAAAATATACCCTTCGCCATTCACTGGCTGTCTTACTTTGGCATATTCATCCCTTTAATACTGTGTCTGTGGATGTTATAATAAAAGGGTGGATGTTCAGTACTGACATCGGTCTTTTGCTTCTTGGCTAAAGTTGTGATCATTTCATTAGTTTTTCTCTTTCCTGAAATACATACAAATACACAAAGTTAGCATTCCCTTGAAAATTACATGCCAAATACTTTAATAACTATATATTGTCTCAAGTTTAAATCTTTGACACCATTTCAACTTATCTATCCAATCTTAAATTCTTACAATAAGATAATTTATTCTGGATATTTTCATTGCCCCTCACTCATGTAATTTTAATATTTAACTGTTTGCTGAGTCAGCACTTCCTTTCTACTTTCTTCAAGCCACAACTCTGTTCCTAGCTCTTGTAGGAAGCCATTTATGAATTCTGAGCCAGTCACTTCATAGATTTCATTATTGTCAATCCTGTACTACTCAGAGCTTAAGTTCTGGCATTTTCTTACTTTCTTGCTCCATGTGTGTAGGTTGTTTATGTGTGTAAGTCCTTTCTCCTTAAGTTACATTCTAAGTTCCTAAGGACACTATCCACTTATACGTGCAGTCTCTACTCAGTGCCCAGTATTGGATATATGAGGTTGGATAGTTAAGTTCGTGGACTCATCCTAGAAAAAGTGCTGCACACTTCATTTCTGAGTATCACTGTGGTCAACAGATGGCCAAGGGGAGCACTTCAAAGATGACCTAGTGATATTCAGCAATGAGATATGTAGTACTTTTTCTAGGATGAGTTCAAGAACTCAACTGTCTGACTTTGTATAGTAGGTTTTCAGTAAACACAAAACAAAGGAAAATGCCACAAAAAAGCCTTAAATTAAAACTTGAATACAAAAACTCATAAAGGTACGATGTAAGATCTCAAAGCCCACTTTTTACCATAGTACTTAGTCTTTCCGTTTTAAGCGAAAGGGGGCTAGCCAGTAAGATTGTAGAATGTATCCTTCTAAAAATCACAAAAGGAAAATAACTGAAAATAACTGAGATATCCAATACCACAAGACATTTTGCCTGAATGTTCAACCCTTGATTATTTATATATGAATCCTATAGTCAAATCTTATTTCTTCAGGAAAAGCAATTAGCAGTTGCTTAAGTAAAAGTATTTAGAAGGCAAATTTCATGCATGAAAATGATAAGTTACATTCACAAATAAATATAAATTACTGTTAAATTATTGTCTTTTTACATAAAAATGAAAACAAAAAGGACAACTTGGAAC